CCAGTAGGAATTGATTCTGTAGTAGATCCTGGATAAGAACCCCAGCTGGCTGGCTGGGGCCAGGACGTGGAGATGCAAGTGGGCAATCGAGCAGAACGGTGGCCAGTGAAAACCCATCCTTCAGAAAATGAAAAGAAGTACAAGATAGTGGTGATTTTAATTCAACAAAAAGTGGAACATTGCAGGTTATTTAACACAATCCACAGAACTAACAACTCATTGCATTTTTGATGTACACAGAAGCAAGAACAAAAACATGCCCTTTCATTATACCACAAAAAACTCTTCAAAAGGTCATTAATTGCCTGCTTCACATCTCTGTATTTAAGACACATTTTTAAAAGGAGTTAAAAGTAAAAGTATCTTAAATGTATCCTATCTAGTTTTCAGCTGGAAAGCCAACTATAAATTTTCGTCATGAAGAGCTGACTCCCTATTCCTCTACAGTGCTCAAATTATTGCAGCTATCAAGGGCCTTAAACTGAAGGATCCAGCACCAAAATCCAGTGAATTCTGGTATGACTGAAACACAATGTGGTGTCCTGCTTCAAAAGGCCAAAGTTTACCTCTTTTCTAGCATTTAGGATTTAGAGCATATTTGCAGCATAATGAAAGAGTAGCCTCTTTGGTAAGTTGTTTGAAGTGCCCTCCCTACTCCAAGATGTGTTTGAGAAAGAATCTCAGACCTGGAACGCAATTTGTGCCAGAACCTTATCTGAAAAAAAAAAGTTTATATTCAATGCCAGCAGATTTTAATTGAGAATTCATGCAATAAGTGGAAGGTAGACCTGATTTCTTCCATAAATCACAGTGCAGGTTCTGCCACCATCTCTAAAGTAACATTCAGAAAAGTAAAAAGCACACTCAATAGAAGATAGAAGGTTTCTATTACATACCTTACATCATTCAAGTCACTAAAATTATTCTTCTGGAGAACAGCTTTTCCCACTTCCATCATTCTCTTCACTGTTAAAACACAAATACATTTCATTTTAAGAAGGTATTCTTTAGAATATTAACTTCAACAGACTAATCTACACTGAGATCACAGACATGGATTTTTCAAAATCTAAACATTGTAACTACTCCTAGTCAAAGAAAAGACAATCAAGAGAGTTGCACAATGATTTACTTGAAAACTTCTACTGATACAAACTTCCACACCTGCAATGCTTTCCAGTGTGATATTATTATAAGAACTTCGGCCAAAGCCATGCTATCACCACATCCTTATTAAAAAACCCAGCAAGTACTGATTGGTCAGAATAATGACTTTACACTAACTCCAGTGTTCTATCTCTACTCAGCTACAGGACTTTGATCTACAGAACCTGTGAAGCCTGGAGTACATTTCTGAGATGGTACATAAATTCAAATTAAAATAAAATTGTCAGTATTTCTTATTACTAGCACATAGTTTCATTATCACTAAACAATGCAGTAATCCCAATACAAAAATTCAAGGCAGAAGTCAGAGGAATTGCTTTGAACCAAACACATACAGAAGTTTTTTCTCTGGAGAAAACCACCCTATGTTTACAAGAGAAATACAGCGATGCAAGATTTGCAAAATGAAATTATAACTCTTTTCTTGCATCACCTGTAAATTTCCCTAAGGTGGAATTTCTTCATGGCTGCAGTTTCTTCTGTTACTCAACACACTTAGCTAGCCATATCTTGTGAAACAAATTCCAGGGCAATGTCCTCTTAAAGGGAAAAAAACCCAAAATATGCCTAGCAACAATAAACAATGTCTTCAACATTTCAGAATTTTATTTTTCAAAAATTTTTTAAGTTAATTGAAACATCATTTCCCTTTTCCATCTGCCACTCCCTTTTTTCCCTGACAAATAATGCAGCATTTATCTGAAAGTATTCATGTTGTAAAATTCTTCTGTAAGCTTTTAGAAGTGCATATGCACATGTAAGACAATGCAATGAAGCAGCACATAAATGCTTTAAAAATAAAGCTGTACTTCCAACAAAATTCAGAAGCATCTACACTCCACGCAAACTGCGATGTTTTTCTAGAACTGCACAAAAGAAGTGCCATTCTCGACCAGCACATAGAAGTTTCCAGAAAGGGTAAGTCCCTATCTACACTCACCCACATCAGCTATTTCCATGTTTACAAATCGTGTCCAAAATTGCAATTTACTTGACAACCCCCTATTTCAGGCTGTGAAAAATGATTTTCCTTGAGGTAAAGCACACACTTGCAGCCTTACCTAGAGGTATGTGCTCTGTCTTCAGGGTTTTGCAGTTTCCCATATGCTTCACGGGCACCACCAGGTAGTGGTGGGGAGCACCAGGTTTTATATCTCTAAAGCAAACAAGGTCTTCATCCTAAAAAAGGATGAAAACGTTTTAAAATGTATTAGGACGAGGACACTGGCACAGAGGAGGTAACAATGTCCATACCCCCCATGTCACAGCTGACGCGACCAGCAGCAAAAGCTGAGGGTTTTTTGGAGGCAACCTCCAGGCACGGCGCGGTCAGCAGTCAGGATTCCTGTCTTTCCTGACCTTCCGCAGTCAGCATTCCTCGGCGCCAGCTCTGAGGCTTCCGGCTGGGCCAGCACTTAGGGAAGGCAGGGTGCTCTCCGCGGGAGCGATGTTCCCCGCTGTGCCCATGCAGGAGCTGAGGGCCTCAGAGCCGCCGCGACCCCCGGGCCGCCCGTGAGGGAGCGGGGAAGGAGGCGGGGAAGGCGGCGCCTCACGCACCTCGCAGGGCAGCAGCGCCGTGCCCGGCTCCTCCCGGCGGGCGATCCTGCAGAACACGCACTTCCCGTCGTAGCCATCGCGGCCGCCATTCCCGGCTCCGCTCCCCTCAGCGGCGGCGGCAGCACCCGCGGCCTCAGGCCCGGCCATGGCCCCGCTCCCGGCCCCGTTCCCGGTCCCGCTGCCGGCCCCGCCCGCCGAAGGAGGAGCGCCCGGCCCGGCAGCCCCGCTGGCACCGCCCGCTCCGCCCGCCGCGCACAGCGACGGGAGCTCGCCGGGAAGTTTTCCCAAAAAAACCCCCAAAACAAACAAAACAAAACAAAAAAAAATCATTTAAAAAAATGGAGGGACTAAAGCCATGTGAATGAATTCAGAGTTCATTAAAATTCGAGTTGCCGCAGGGGGAAAAAAAAAATCAATCACGTAGTAAAGAGGGCGGATAGAAGGATAATTAGTGCTTATGACGCTGGATCTTTCTCGTTCTTCACCAGAAAGTTATGTCCAGCAATTCAAAACCAAGAAAAACCTTCGAAAAATTTAGACATTTTGCCCCTATAGTTCAAGTTACTTGGATTTTTATATGTGCACAAATAATCTTAAAACCATGTCAGCACTGTTGCAGTTTGTTCAGGGTCGCTAATAGAATTCCAGAGATTTTTCCAACTGAATCTACATTTTTTCTTCGACACTCCCAGCAGTGAGGGCTAAAATCTGATGTTTATTCTAAATGCATAAGCCTGAAATTGTTGCCGGCTCATGACAGCTACGCCAATTCAAAGCCAAAGTAAGATTTTTCATAAAATCACAGAATGGTTTGGGTTGGAAGGGACCTTGAAGATCATCTAATTTCAACAATTCTTCCACTAGACCAGGTTGCTCAAGGCTCCATCCAGCCTGGCCTTGAACACTTCCTGGAATGGGGCATCCACAACTTCCCTGGGCAATCTGTTCCAGTGACTCTCCACCCTCCTCCCATCAACTACTTCTGAATCTAATAAAGGGTAGTTTGCCTTCAAGTTCTAAGTAATAGTTTCTATTTTAAGTCATTTGCACTTTTCATTAGACTAGAGCTGCAGAATCACTGATCCTACAACTTAAATGTGTTTTTCATGCAGCTCAACAGACTCAAAGTACTTGTCCCACAGGTGACAGGCTACAGGTGTTTTAAAAGGTAATGAGATAAAAGACTTTCAAAGATTTAAAAAAATGCCTTTTTTTTTTTTACAGCAAGCTGTGCCTGCACAAACAGGACACAGTTGCCTATTCTACTTGAGGTAGCTCAACTTGCCAGATGTGCCAACCTGCAGTGCTAGGCAGTTCCTTTGCAATAACCTAACCTGCTCCCTTTATTACAAACAAGCAAATCAAATCTTTAGTTTACAAATAAGGACTGTTCAAAATGTAACTAGACTTTCCTTTGCTCTAAAGCAAGCCTTTGTGCAAAACATCCAACACAAAACCTGCACTTAAACCAGGACCAAATAAAACATCTGCAATTACCTGGCCACCGACAAGCCTAATTTGTGAGTCTGTGTTTGAACACGGTCCTGTATCAAAAATCTGTATCCAAGTACCACTGAAGAAACACATATTTCATGTTGCAAGAACAAGAGCTTGTTTTCTCTGAGAGAAAAATTACTAGTGACCATAATTTTCCAGTTATTTTAGGAAAGTTGTTACTGCCCTTTCACTCAGAGCAAGGCTCATGGATAGCACACTTGTTCAGCTTCACACGTAATTGTAGTTAGTTTTCTTTTAATGCCACTGCTATATACAGTGAAAACCAATAAAACCCAAGAACCATGTACTTTTAAGACATCTTTGGTTTGCTTGGCTGGACATAAAAATATCTGTGAATACTCTGGAAATACAAAAAGGGTGCATGGACTTCTGATTTATGGGAAGAGGTTGGTCAAAAAGATAAGGGGATACATGTCATTCACTGCAGCTGAGAGTAGCAGCAAGAACTACCAGGTAAACTGCTAACTCTTTACTAGCATTTCTTAGCCCTTTGTCTCAGCCTGTCTCAGAGTGAATTCAAAACACAGGTCTCTTTACGGACACAACATACTACACATACAAAACACCCAAACCCCAAATCCAACCCCACCAAAACCTCCAACTTCCTTATCTGTGCTTGTAAAATACAGAATTGCTGAAATTCTCTTTTTATTAGTTAGCACAGGTATTTGTCAGCATAACCTGTAACTTAAGCTGCATCCTTTCATCTTTAAAATGTTCTAAAGTTTGTGAATAAAAGAGAAAGCATCTGTAACAAGTTTCTGAATGCATAAATTCCTTTATTGAAAATATTGTGATAGCACTGCATTACATATATTCAATATTCATAGTTTAAAGGGTCACAGAATTTTGATTGAACAACACTGTTTTGAATATAGACCACAGCATTTAGATATGCTTTGACAAGGATAATATAATGGAGTAAGTTGTAGGTAGCAAGAGTGAAATGTATGCAAAATGTTGAACTTTATTTCATTTTGTATGTTGTGGGGATTTTTTTGTTGGGTGTTTGTTTGTTTGGGTTTTTTTAAACTATTAAGTGGTCTTCTGCCACCATTTAAAATAGCAAAGAGTGTTAGATATTCTGGGTATCTTCAAAGCATTATGCTGTTAACAACTTCCAAAATATTTTAAAGCATTACCAATAAGAACTTTATTTATGGCTGTAGTAGACCACAAAGAAAGGAAGCGTGAAAAGCTCATGTGCAGCGTGTTACAGGCTTACTGTGTATAGCATTGTTTTTTAAGTCTGTGAAACTTCTGTGCAAGATAAAGATTTTAAAATGCTATGCTTTTGAAGGAAAAGCAAATGGCTTTTTAAAATTATTATTTCATCTATTCAAAAAGAAAAGAGCAGTATTACTCAGTTAATAATATTCCAACATTAGATTGTACTGTTTTAATGCACACTACTGCCTCTAAAACCTGCCTTTCTCAGGACAATGAAATATTCAAGTCTTAAGGCAGGACAGCATCCTAATATTAGTTAGGCCTGGATTGTGTAAACAAAACCACAGCTTAATGGCAATGCAGAATTCCTTAGCAAACAGTGAAGATTACCAGTCCTCTCTCACACTCTCCCCATTTACCAAATGTTTTATAATTTTGTAATATATTTTATTCGTAAAATAAATTTTACAGATTTTGTAATATAGTCTTTTCAGCTTTGGTGGAGGGAGGGGGAAGTATCTGATAAATTCATTAAAAACAAACAAGAAAATTTAGTTGACTGTCAAATCCTAAACCAGACTGCTGCTTGAAGTATTCTTTTAAAGGAAATTATATGTGTAATTATTAGGAAAACAAGTTTTACACTAATGTAACCTGGCCTGTTAGGAACTTTCTTCTCTAAATCTCAATTGTATTTTCTCCTTAACAAATTCTTCAATTTATAGAGAAGTGCTCATCAAAGCACAGTGGGTGGCTTATTTTGAACCATTTGGTGGTGATACAGAACAACAGTTCTCTAAGAAATCTCCTTCATAATCAGTCAAATAATACTCAGGCATGTGCTCAGAGCATGCTATCCCAATTCTGTGGACTGCAACAGAACTGATAAAGTCTACACCAGGGGGCAAGTTGCCTAGTGTCTCCATACACTGCCAAAATAGTTATCTATTAACAGGAATGTGACAGCAAAGTTAAGAAAAAGCACTATCCACCTTCTCCTTTATTTCAGGAAAAGAAAATGAAACAGAATTATGCACTCAAGTGTTTCTCCCAGGAAAAGAAACCCTCTAATTAGGGTATAATGAAAACCAAATCTCATTTACAAAATAAAAATATAAAAATTAACTTCAGAAATCAAATAAATTTATTCAGAATAAATGCCAATGCATAAGAAACCCACCTCAACAGTAATTATCAAAATGAGATTTGAAATATTAAACAAAAAAAACTCACAGCTAATACATTTACAAAAAAAATCTACTATACAGTAACAATAAATAAAATAATTTTAAAAACATGTTCCCTTAAGTGCTGTGTACACCTATTTCTGATTCTTTTCCATGGCAAACAGTATGCTATAGATTTTGGTAAAGTAACCTTTTATTTTTGGTCAGCGTTTGCATGTTGAACATAAATACACATGGAATGTACTAGACAGTTATAGTTCTTCCACAGGATCTTTTTCACAGTTACATAAAAAGTTTTCAACTTATACATCATGAACATTTTCATAAGCATTGTATCTTCAATGGAAGAGTACTGAAGAGGAAGTAAAAAGCACTTCAGAGTGAACTCTTACTGCTCTGTCTCTTACTGCCTCTCAAAATCAATTCTTTATTCTTGGGCCGTTCGGTTGGATTTTTTGTGTAGTCATGCTCTGGTACAAACTTGAGGAAAAAGCATGTAACATTGTGAGGCAGCCTGCGCCTTCTGGATACCTTTTAAGTGCCTAATGGATCCAGTCCTTAAGGCAGTCAGTGTTTCACTCAAATGTCCATACTTCTACATCTTGTATTATGAAATCTTCTTTCTTAGTTAAGATGTCATTATTGAAGGTGCTGCAAGAGTTGCTTCGCCCGTGATACAAATCTGCATCTAACCATAAACCAAACCGGCCACTAAAAGGAAATACACAAAAGATCTGGTGTTACATGGAACAGTGAAAGCACTGGAAGCTGTATAAACAATCAAAGAAGCGATACAGAGGAATATAGGTGACTCTGAGGCCAAATGTGAAGAGTTCAGTACTGGCAAAGCACTCCCCAAGAAGTCATGGAGCCATTCCCTTGCTTTTGTTTGCACCAGTGAGCGGGGCAGCATGTAGGACCCTGCAAATGCCCACAGCCCTGGGCCACCTGGCTGCTCTCACTGCCAGCTGTGGCTACACCGGGGCACAGACCTTGGGGTCCCTTCCCTGTTTGGATGTGGACAGAGCACCTTCTGGTTATCCACCCGATGCAAACCATGCCCAGCTGTCCCATGGTGCAACCCCCAAGTAAGCTTTAGTTGGTTGTACAGCCTTAGCCCTTGATTTTGTACCTACTGACCTTTGAAACTCATGATGTGATTATGCCCTGTCTATATCCTTGCTTTGTGCATCAACAGAAAAACAACAACATAGTAAGGACCACTTGATAAACCCTAGAAACTGATGGCAAAATTGCCATTAGGGATTATCTTCCAGTGACAAACCGCTTCAGCAATGAGCGATCTATCTACCCAAAACATCTGGTTTCTTTTATTGACTGAAAACAACCCCAACTCTGCAACAGACCCTACTTTCCTAACATCAGTCACTCTAAGCAAACAAAATAGCTTTCAGCCTGTAACAGAAATTAGATTGCTGAGGTATCTCTGCTAAACAGCTTAATCAAGTTGAGCCACATTACTGCTAAGTTTTTCCTGCACCTACGTTGTCCCTATTTCCATTTTAAATTAAAAAAAATGAAAGGTGGCTATATAATTTGAAAACCAAACACTCACTCACCCTCCACCACCAAGCTCCAGAGAGGTAGTGTCTCCGTTGATGAAGTAGGTGTTTTCTCCACTCCATTTAAATACCTGAGGAGGGGAAAAAGCATGAACATACTTGGACTGAGGATTCTTGTAATCTCAAACTACTAGGTACTCACACTTGGCAGCTAAGAGGTGTGGTCATCTTTTACCTTTTTCTTGAAAGAGGAAAAGGTAAGGTAGAAAGTAAAGCATCAATACATATTTAAAACTATGAACAAAGCACCCTACTCCTTATTTGAAATGCTGCTTCCCTCTCTAAATCAAGTGGTACCCTCTTAAAAAGGAACAATGTGCTCAATGCGGAAAAAGCGCATAAGCTACGAGCATCAAGGGGTATTTCAGCAGCACTCTTATCTCTGTTTTGGGGTCACTGTGATCCTAAGAATGCATGAGATTATATCCTGTTCTTGATATCATTGCCTTTCCAGGTGAGTCTTTGAAAGTCCACACCTGAAGTCCTTCCACTCCTCAGGTCCTCCCCTTCAACTCACTTAAAACCCTCTCTTCACCCTTACAGACTGTCCTCTCTTCAGATAATAACACTTTTGCTTGAAGTGTCTGTAATTAATTGACACTTTTGCTGAATGCAATAGCATTGAAGCAATGAATGATTAACTGCATTCATCAACATCTGGCAATTCTTTTTCTACACTCAAACATGCTATTTTCATAAAAATCTCATAAATGCTTCAGAAGTGGAACCCAAAAATCTTATTTCAGAAGGTGGACACCCACCCACTTACCTTGAAATGTGGACTGAAAGTGTAGAGGAATGTTTCACCAGTGCCATAGTAATGGTCACTAAACCTGAAGGGATGAGTAGCATACGCTCCAAATATCTGTTAGAATAAAATGATTACACTACTTTTGTGGAAAGTACTGAATTCAAGAGAACCACCCCCCCCCCCCCCCCGCCAGACATGTCAAAATACTTTCTAAGAACAACTAAGCTGATTTTTATGTTAGAAGAACCAGCTAGTGAAGTGTATCAGATGTGCAAGTATTTCTCCACATCTTCTGTATCCTGCAAGTTAAAAGCCAGATGGCAACAATGGCAGCAGCATTGCTGACTCTAGCAGCTACTGAAGAATAAGACCTCCAGAGAGGCATTGCTTGTGACAGCTCCTTAACTGAGATACTTAAGAAAGGCACTACTGCACTCACTGCAATTCTAAAGCTTTTATTAGTGCCGTAGTACTTTCCTCTGGTAACTCTAGTTTAAGCAGTAGAAAATATAAAAGAATACTCCAATGTTTTATTTTAGTATGACATGACTTCATAGTATGACTAGCATTTAATAATGATCATTTAACAAAATGCTGCCCTTTCTGCTTCACCCCTGTGGAACCAGAGCTCCTTACCTGGTTGTCCATATCCTTGATGACAAGGAGAACTGGGCTGTCAAGAGAAGCCGATCTGCGGTACAGGGTCTTCAGGCTGGTCCCGTGCTCCAGCGTGCTGTATGCCAGGCGCCACGGGTAGCCCTGCACCCGCGCGGGCAAGCGCCGGGCAAGCTGGGCAGGGAGCAGGGAATGAGGGAAATGGTTACACAAGCAGCACAGGCAGTGCCCCAGCCTATTCTCTTTCTCACACTCGACAGAGACAATACCACATCTAAGAAGGAAACCTGCGGGCTTTCAGCCATACCTGCTCTATGTGCATGTTCTCCAGAAGAGCGCTGTGATGCTTTAGGATAGGCAAAGTATCATCTTCTTCTTCTTCTTCATAGTAACTGCAAACACTCTTTCGTCGTTTAGCTTCTTCTACAGTAATTATCTGTGGCAAGAGAACAAGTGTCCAACCTAAAGCACAGCTCTTACACCATCAATCCTCTGTTGAAGCCAATTCATTTAAAACTTACTCCTCAGCTGTCACACTGTTTGGAGAAAAAACACCATATGGGATAATTTTATCAAGCATAGGTACCCTTAAGCAAATGGGGAAAATCTTTAGCTAGAGCTCAGTGCCACCATGGCACATAGCAAGCAACAGCAAAAGCTCTGAAACGGAGCTGATGAGAAAGAGAAGGGGAAGCAAGGAGGCCTAGCTACAAAACAAACAGGAAACCTTAAACCGTCTTTTCCTTCCATGAATGTATCACCACAGTGGTCTTATTTAGGAGCAGGAATTTCAGGATGCAGCTGCAGAGTCCACTGTGCTCTGCTATGCACCTCGCTGCCAATAAGGCTTCCAAATGTTACACACGGATCAAGTTTTGCATAATTCCTCCATGCCTTCACGATCACTGCTGGAACTTGCAGAAGCTGTCAACAGCCTGGAGGCCCTGCACACACCTGCCCCTCAGGAGAGAAGGCAAATGTGCTAGACTGACTCCAGGTGTAGATTTAACCACACAACAAAGCACAGAAGCTTTGCATGAGGACCAGGGCTGGTGAAGAACCCTCACAGCCCCAATACCCTCTGCCACAACAGGCATCCCCAGTGGGATGAGAGCCATGCATCTGCTGCATGCACTCATGTCCAGTCCATGCCCTCCTGCAGATGCCTGGAACTGAGCAGGGCACGTGGGCACTGGCACTCCACTGCAGGGTCAGGAGAAGAGAGGAAGGGAGGTCACAAGGCAAAATCCAGCCTGCAGAACAAATACTGCTATGTGTCCCTGCACACCTGAGCAGTTACATGTATTCTTGCCCAAGATACTGCAAGAGATCTACAGCTTCATCCTGACACTCCAGCCTCTCCTTCTGAGACTGCAGATAATCCTGTGCTGTAAAATTTTTCATATGGTCAATTTCAGGAAAGTTTTGCACTGCAAAATTAGGGTAATTAAAAATTAAAAAACCGCTCGCTCACAACAAACTTAAAAAAACCCCAATCTTTCTACTTGTATCATTGTTCTTTTTTCACCTTCTGACTGGTTTGCCTTCCTACCTCATCTCCCAGAACATTACTGTGTATTTTTAAATTAACACCTTTAAGACATTAAATCAAAAGTACACAACTCCCCTTTTGTGGACCTTCTTTTAGGAATAGTCTCCCTTCCAGGAGTGGGGGGAAAGTACCAGACAACAGCATATCAACCAAGAAGTATCTGTAGCAAAATACAACCAAACTCACCTAGGCAACCAGAGAAAACTTATTAACACAGCTGTAAATTGCAAATTGGCTCCAGAGACAGACAAGCCCCACCTCTTCTCTTTATACACATTTATTCAGTCTCTGAACTGGATATATGAATGAAGTTCAGTAAATAACTGCAGAAAGAGCCATCTGCAAGATCAGGGATTTACAGACCATACAAAAGCAGAAATGGATGAAAAGAACTGACCACTACAGAAACCAGATCTACAAAGTCTTTCAAAGATTTTATAGGGCTGAGAAAGGAAGCCACCTAAGGTGCCCCTCACCTGAGTACAGAGCACATTTATAACTAGGACAGAAGTTCCATCATCAGATCCACACTGTTCAAATGGGAAACAATTCAACATACCTCCACAAAAGGTTCCTCCTGGTCTGGTCTGGCACAGTAAATAATTCGAATATTCAAAGGTATTTGTCTCTTTTTCATCATCTAGCAGTTTATTTTCAATACCCACTACTCTACCCCTGCTCTAGTGGCAAGAGTTCTCAGCCCCAAGAGTGACAGACAGCTACTGGCCATGGCATGCTGTGATAAAATTGCTTATATACTGCTCTACAATTAAGAGTTTCTGTTTCCCCGCAAGGGAGAGTGAAACTTTCACAGTCATCATGCCCAAATTTGGACTTTATTCAATAGAGATTTCCTGGCAAGCCTACTTGAAATTGATGAAGCTAGAATGTATTTCAAAAAGAGACACACCTTTAAAAGCAGTTTCCAGCTTTTCTTCCTTCCAATAAATATCTAAATAAAACAATGAGAGACAAGCTCCCAGTGTGGCCAGATCTCTCCTACATCTGTCTTTAGATCACTGACTCTTCTTCATTGTGGTTTTATGAAAATGGCATGCAAATAACTGAACAGTAAAATCTAGAGCATTGTATGACTGCACACAGCTCTAAGCAAAACAAGGAAGGTGGTTTTTTTTTATCTTTCAGCTCACAAAGCACAAACACTGAGAAGCTACAGAACTGTAAAAATATTAGCTCCTTGGGAATAGAGGCTGCTACATTTAAAATGACAGGTCCCACTTCGTGTCATTTTTCAACAGAACATACTGTGAAGATCAAAATGCTCAAATAAACAAACAAACAAAAAAGAGGGTAGTAGAATTTGAAGAAAACAAGTTTATGTTTAAGATGAATAATCAGATTACTTTTAAATTACCATCAAGATATTTCCCACTTTGAAATTTATTTGTCTGTTTAATTTATCCCATATCCTTAGCACAGAAAGTGTTTGAGCAGTGAGAAATATGGCTTTTAAAAACGAGTGTAAGCTTATTTCCCTTAGAAACTAGGCTTTGTATGCAGAAGGAGATAACAAGCATAGGCATGCCAAGTGGTTAAAACAGATTGCAGAAGACCACACATGAAAAAGCCAAAGTCCAATTATAAACTTATCCCACTTACACCCAATATTCAAACAGTATTGCTGTGTGCACCCGAGAAGCAAGAGTCTGGCCTGTCACCACACACCAATCCATTTCAACCAGCACACAGAAGTCTGTGTTGATGTTTACATACATATATACATTTTGAAGAATTTATTTGTAGCACATAAATGCAGTAGGAAATACATGAGGAATTTAGCAATGCTGGCCACATATGCCTGTATAGCTTTGCAAAAGACTAATATCACATGGTCAAAATATTTACACAACTTCTGCTGGTTGCACACCAGAGAGCTCCCAGTTGTTTACATGCTCCTTCTAGGGAGAGAAGAAATGAAGACTGAAGGAAGATTAATACATTTGTGAAACAGATACAAGCCTTAAGGAATTCTCTATATGAAGCAGCAACTGTTATAAAAAAACACCATAAAATCCTCAAAAGAACAACTGCTGAGATTCTTAGCAGAGGATGCACACTTGATACCCACGTGCTTCATGTAAAGGCAGAAAGCACTCACCTCCCAGCTTTTAGTAGTGGGCTCACTAAAAAAGTTGTCAATCATGTCAAGCTCCTCCTTTTCTACCACAACAAAACCTTGCTCTTTGGCATCTTTCCCATATATTTCTGGTGACCACTGAACAAAAAATGTGTACAAGTGATCCACCCTGTGAAGAGAAGAGGAGGAGACAACCATTGTTCAGTAGTCCACGAACCCACACTATCATGTAGCACAGGGGTTTTTCCCAATGCCAAAGCAGGGACAACTACACAAACATTATACCCATGTACCTCCACCCTCCCATACCACAGAAGGCAACAGCTTCCTCCACCTGGCAGCTTGAACCACTTCAAGGTTTCTCTGCTTTCATTCCCCACAATGTATTTTTCTCCTCCCTTTGCTATATGCAAAGCCAAAGCATCATGGTAAAGCAATATGGCTTGTCCAGTCCCACACAATTCATATTAATAAGTCAAATTGCTTGATATTAGGTCATAGACACAAAAGTTAACTCTATAAAACATTCACTTTACCCATTTAGTTTCACCTCCAGCACAAGCAAATGAGATCATCAGTGAAGTCTACACTACAGTTTTAGCTGCCCTTTAAAAGTTAAAGAGGCTAGCCACAAAACAATTTTCATTCTCTTAGTATTATGAAAATAAGCTGTTACTGACAGCTTTGCTGATGATATAGTACCAGCAGCACATGCTCTTCCATAAATGTAGTCAGCTCTCAGCCACCGTCTTTAAAAGATATTCCTTGACAACATCCATAAAAAACAACAAAACAATTTCTGAAGAAGGAATTTATGTATTAAGTTAAAATGAACATGTGCAATTTCAAACAGGAATACAACAGTGGATCCACTTTACAAGAAGCTGAATTGCCAACAAAAAAATCAGACCCACAGTAAAGAGGGCAGATAGAAGTGCTTATGCCATTAGATCTTCCTCCAGCTTTTCACCAGAAAGTTACATCCAGCAACTCTTAGATCAACAGAAAACAGAAAAAACCTTTTAGAAATACAGACACTTCCCCCCTCCCCCTCATATTTCAAATTACCTGGATTTATATGTATGCACAAATAATCTTAACATACCCTTTCCACACTGTTAAAATTTGTTAGGGTCACTAGTATAAGTCCAGATTTTTTCAAATGAGTCTAAAGAATTTACTTTGCTTCATCATGGAAATAATGAAAAAGGAATAAATTAGCATTGCTCACAGAGGTTTCAGAAAAAGCAGTCTGATTAGTTCTTTGCTAATTAATTTGAGCTTTAACTGAGAGAGACAACTGACTTGAGCACTGTGTATTTTATATACAATAGTCCTGCTCTGGAAAAGCAACTACTTAATTCCCACAAATCACTAAGAAAAGACAATAAAAGTAGTGGTTTCTGATGTCTGGGTAAGATCGGTTTGAAAGCATGTTTATGCAGGTGGATGAAGGAGAGTAGCACACTTGTATATCAGAATCACAGAATGTATTTATGTTTTAAGCTATCTCTAGAAATCATCTAGGCCAGCTCTTGCTTATAGCAGAGCTAACTTCCAAGTTAGAGGAGGTTGCACATTCTTGTCCATTTGAGTTGGAAAATCTACAACAGTGATTCTGCAAGTTCTCCATGCATAGCCTGTCTCCTGGGGTTTGTTTCTCTTTTATCTCATCACCATTTCCCCCGAAGAATGCAGCATATGATCTGAGAAGGGTCTGGTGCCATCCTACATTTTCTGTTTCTTGTCCCCTCCTCTCCATTTTTTTAACCAAGTGTCTAAAAGAAAGAGGGGATTAATGACCACCCAAGTTGTTGGGCTGTACCTCCTTACTTGAGTCAGCAAGAAGTGGTGTGTCCTTCATTACTGCAAGGACACATCACCGACATGTTGAGTTTGCTCTCAACTTCCCCAACTTCTTTTTGGCAGAGCTACTCCCCAGGCTGCCTGCCCCCCTCTACTGCTGCAGGAACTGCTCCTTCCCAGGTGCAGAACTTTGCATTTGCTTATTCTGAACATCCTGACATTTCTGTCAGCCTGCTGTGTTGAGGCCCCTCTGAACTAGCCCTGTCCTCCAATTATGAGCATTCTCCAAATTTTGTGTCATTCCCCAAAATGACAAAGGTGTGCTCTGTCTCAATGTCCATGTCACCAGTGAAGGCATTAAGCAGTATCGGTCCCCAAGAATACCATTTGTACCTCACTGCCACTCCAACCAACTACCAACCCTTTGAGACTGATCAATTGAGGTCCAGTCAATTTTGCAAACACCTGCAACCTTTATGTCCAGGTCATATCTTTCCAATTTGGCCACAGGGGTACGATGGAAGATTGTGTTGAAAGCTTTAGTAATGTGATGCTATCAATCCCTTGCTCTCTCCATGCTCAAGGAGGTAGCAATCTCAAACAGAAAAGTTATTTGGTCAGTAGAAAAGCAATTTCCCCCTGGCAAATATATGACAGCTGATCCTCATCACGTCTTTACCCCCGTGTGCTTGGAAATGGTGTCTGTAAGGACTTGCTTCCTAGGGACTAAGATGAAGCTGACTGCCCTGTGCTCCCACAGATACTTCCTTGATTTTTCTGACAATGGTTGCAGCAATTGTCTTTTCAATTATTAAGGAACCCTCCCCCTGAACACAACCTTTCAAAAGATGATAGAAAACAGTTTTGTAATAACATCAGCCAACTTCCTCAATATACTCAGAACATTTCCTGTCAGGCCCCATGGACGTGTATATGCTCAGTTTATTTAAGCAGTACATAACTAAGTTTTCCTCTGCAATGGACAATTGATAAATAAATCCAGACAGTCCAGGTTTAAGAAGCAGCAGCATAAAATAGAAATAGGTGATTACAGAGGTGATGTCATTCTGAAAAGGGATGCTCTGCTAATATATTTCTAACATTATGCTACAATAGTATTTCCAAGCAAATTGAAAACATGCAATCCAATTTTTAAATTGAAAAACCATTGAGGAACTTTGTTACAGTCAACTAGGCAGCTGCAAAAAAATTTATCCTAGAACTCAATAGCTGTTTTGGTGATCACATGCTTATGAGTGTATCATGCACTAGAAGAGAGACATCAAAAAGTAAAGTACTTGGAAAGAGACAACTATAGAAGTCAGTAACTCCAGAAAGAAAATATTCAAAAGGCTCTAAGTCCAACCACTGCTCCTGGCTCAGAGAAAGACATTAATCCAGAAGGATCCTATGACTTTCTTATAAATGTGCTTGACTAAATGATGATTCTTCACAAATCTTGATGGCTGAGGTATTGTAAGCCCTCATATGCTTTTATGAGCTTATACAGACTTCTATGAGCCCTCGTTATAAAACATTAAGCTATAGATACAAACAGGTTTTCACAAATTTCCTCTGTACAGTTTGATATCTTACTATCAGAAGTCCAGGAGTATTTTCTTTATAAAAGGCTAATTCAAAAGGATTCTAAATCTAGCAAAAAAGTAGATGCCTTCTCAGCAGCACAACCTCAGTGCAGTGTCTTTTACATCAATTTCAGTGCAAATTATACATTCATAAACCAAACATGTTTGCAGAATTTACACTGTGGAAAATTAAAGAGATTTAGTTATTGATTGAGGAACTAGTCAATGCTATTACTTATAAGCAGAGAAATTCTGCATTACTATCTGTGTCCCAGTGCAAGGCATTTTCTTGTAAAAGATCTTCAGGAAATGTGTGACCTAGTTTCTGAGCTACTGGTAGTCAAAATTCACTAAGGTGGGAAACCTGCATACCACTTAAACATAAATCCACATAGTAAGAGCACACACAGACTTACCCTCTAATACTGTAAGCTATACGCATTGCAAAACTTCCCAGCAAAACAGTCAATCTCTATTTGTGTCCAAAAGCATGGGTGCCCCTCTGCTCAGCTGAACGTGGCAAGAAACTGCCCTAGCCTGAGTAATCTGTATATAAGGCAACTCAAGATGCCCAACACCCCTTCTGTGTGCTGAGGTGAGCACTGCAGTGACCAAGAAGGCAGCACGAAGCAGTGCTGCAGTCACTGATTAACTCAGCCACGCCATGTTGGTCGTGGGGCGACGTGAGCCGGGACACATGCGGCGCCTAGGAGGCCACGCAGGGAGAGAGAACATCTCCAGCAGGCACAAAAGGCAAATGAGACAGAAGATTTAGTGCCTTTATAAAGACTATCAGCCTAAAAGCATTCCTTCTGTGTTAACAAAGTTTCCAGAGGATTCCCAAAAAAAAAAAAAAGAAAAAAAAAAGTCAAAATACTACTGGGCCCAGAAAGTAGCTGGAGCCTACACATGGAAGAGCAGCTTTGCTAAGCTTTGCTAGGAGCTGTGAGTTACGGGACCGGGCTGAAATTGGAGCCATTTTCATAACTGATGACAGAAGCTATTTTAACAACAAACACTATGATCATGGAAACAATGTAACTAAAAGCAAATCAGAGGAAGATTTAACTTACACTAAATATAGACATGCAGACCGATTTTTTCACAATCTCACTCCAAATTTGGACAGTTTGTTTGATTTTGTTTTTTTGCTTGTTTGTTTGGGTTTTTTTGTTTTGTTTTTTTTAATTATGACAAAACATTAAGATGCTGCACAAGCTACTGTGACTGGACTGGAGAAAGTGTTTTATTTATGCTGCTTTGTAGCCAACAAGATGAGTGTGTTATTCTTGATATTTTCACACATGAATACAAATTGCATTCCAAGTATTTTTAGACTTAGTGAATTATCTCATATTTTGTCTAAAATACATGGCAGAGCTAGTGAATTATCTCATATTTTGTCTAAAATACATGGCAGAGCTATCCCAAACAACCTACTTTTCATGCCACTCTCGAGATGCAACACTTATGTTTATATTTCACACAATACTAATTCAAGAATATCTCCAGAAGGTAGGAAGTATTGTGTTTTGCTTTGGGAAAGCATAGAAGAGCTTGGAGAAAACACCATCTTGTTCAAGAGGCCAAGACATGCCTGGCATTAATACAAAGAAATGTGTCTCACATTTAATTTCTGCTCCAAGTTCTACTTGATCTGTCATGCAATTCTGGGGTGTTAAAACAGGCATGAATAGCACTAAAAAGACTGAAACTTACAACCAATCATTCACCACTACTTTTGATCAAGATCCAAACAGCAGCCCTGACATCAAAGACCTGGTATGTCAGCCAGCATGGCCAGGTGCAGCTACAGCAGCTCATTGCAGAAGTTGTTTTTTTCTTGTAATAAAAACTGAAACCAGTTGTCAACACTTCACTTTACATCAGGTCTGCGCACCATTCAGAAAGTTTCTGCTCATAAAAAGACAACCAGGAAAGCTGTTTTCCAAGTCTGTGGTTAGAAGCTTGATAGATTTACCTGTTACACACAGCAATGATTAGAGATGATCTCAGGCAGCTCAGCAGCTTTATTCACTGTTAGCTGCACTATCCCCAAAGCACTACCTGACCTTGTGCTGTATTACAGCATCACTCCAACTCATCACTCCAACTCCTTGAAGTATTTACTCAAACTTCAACCCAGAATTTTCTGAACCCACCCTTTTGCAATCCCTGAGGAGCCAAGGACCGGGATCCACAGATAGCAAGCAAACCAAAAGCTATCCAGCTATTCTCCCAAGGACCACAGTCCAGCTGGATTAAACCTCTCCCTCGCCTTCAGGAATTGTTCCAAGACAGCAACTTCCACACTACTACAGACAATCAAACACTCCTTTTAAAACCACAAAAAAAATAGAATCACTTACATCAACACACATTATACAAATTTTAGATTAAAATTATTAAATAAAAATTATTTTGAAAAAATTTACTGCATCTGAAAGAACCATCTCTGAGATGGATCACAAGTTCAGATTCCTCTTTCCTGGCATCTAATTTACCAGAATCACCGATTTTGGTTCATCAACAGACCAGAGAATTGCTCTAGTTGCCTTCTGCCAAAAAAAGGATCATATATTTGATTCTTCACAGCCAGTGAAAATTCTTGGGTGATTTATGAGGAAAATAATAGACTTCCACTTCTCTAGTTTGTTGGTTTGCTTTTTTCTAGAGTACTATTTATGTATTATTACACATCTACAGGAAAACATTTGTGTCCCTCAATTTTACTGCAAAGGGACTATTTTTAATAGGACAAAAGACAGAAATCCTCACACCTATTTAGTTAGGAGTGTCTCCCTTTTCCCACATGATGCCCTTTGAAACACCTATTTTTTTAGCATTGACACCTCAGTAGATTCCATGCCCCTCCAGCTCCCCTTTCCCGCACTTCCTAGACTACAGCTGAAACCCTGATCATCTCCCAGTTCTTTTATCATATATTAAGTGCACATATATCCCTCTTTCCATCTTCAAGTGGTATATGAGCCCTTTTTCCTTCCCACTGAGAGCCATATTAGACCAGCAATAAATACTGCTTTATGTTGCTGGCCTGCAATGAAATGAGAGCACCCCTCAGCATTCCGGCTGCACTTCACAACTTGGGACCGTGTAGGTAATGTAAGATTCAGCTCTGGAACGAACTTCACATTTAAAAAGTAACAGACAGATATTTTTGTGCTAACAGAAGTGCAGCTTACCTTTCCCGAGGAACAGCAAACCAGTACTCTGGTTGCTTTATCTTTTTACTGTACTGTTGAGACATCGTCATGCTCTGAGACACAAAGGATTTTCTCATGGGCTTGCCTACTTTAATGCACAGAAACATTGGAGGAGTCTTGCTCTTCTCCTCTTTTGAAGGAAGCATATCTGAACAAGACACAAGAGAAATGGTCTGCTTACAGAAAAGTACAAATACTGCAGCTGATAAAAGACTGTGACAAAGATTAACAATCTTGTGCAAAGGAATACTCAGAGGCATCCTTCCACAGAATTACACCTGACTTCAACAGCAGAATTGGTTTAGTAAAACCACGTTCATCCTAAACTGAGGCCATTTATTCCCATTTTGTCACAGCCTGTATCCCCCTCAGCCATACAGCTGTGTACAGAACAGCTCTGTAAATAAATAGGTAAGATGACGTGGCTGGGTGCTGCCTGCAACACAAAGCAGGCAAATAAAGGGGACATGTTAGGGTCCAGAAAACCCACTCAGGCTGAAGGGTAATCCTGCATGCACATATACACGTACACACACTAAAAGCTCAATCAGTTTCCCAACTCTTGTCAGTCACACAGCCATACAAGCACGCTTTATCTGCATAAGACAAGGCCAAGCCTAAAAGCAGTTTAGGCTCCCTAAATTGCTAGTGTGACAAAAAAAACTTGCTTATTAAACTATAGCTTCAGTCACACTGAAGTTGCCTTCTTTGTTTTAGCAGTACACGTACAGCCAAATATCAACCCTTATGGAAAAAAAAAAAAAGGAAAAATAATTTTAAGAACAACTTTTCTTAAAATAGAGACTTCCAGTTTACTCATCCCCCACCACCTGATTTGACTCAAGGGTATGTCCACTGGTTCATTAAATTACCCAGAAAGGAGCATTAGTGCTCCAGGATAGACTACTGCTTAGAGGCACTGGGCTGCCATAAAAATGGCAATATGTGTACACATGCTCTGAACAGAGATTTCATTCTGGCATGTGCTTTCCTGGAACAGCCTGAATTATTTCTGATAATGCAATGACCAATCAGGAGAAAACTGATCACTCAGTAGGACTATACATGTATTCCTATCTATCGCTTCCTTAAGGGTTTCCATAGCATGAGAGACATCAGACACACTCAAATATTGTCAAGAATATTTTGGTGCCCCCCTTCACAGCAATGCTCTACTACCTTGGATACTATTAGAAACAAAACTGACAGACTTCAATGAGGCAACAGTGGTTACCAATACCAAGTGACAATTCCTAGGCCATGAAGTGTCCCTGCCAATACTGAAACTGGATGACATTTCACTATCCTTCTTAAAGCCAGCAAACAGAGGTAAAGATTACATAAGCAGCAATCACTGAATGTGGAAAGAGCACACAAGCTATTTATCAAACTAGAAGCTTAGAGAATTTGAAGATAGCAGGTAATATAAAATCAAAATACACAAGGAGTAAAAAAGAGACCAGGTATTACAGAAGGAAGAAATTTAGAGAAGGCTGTCAATTCAAAGGTTACCACCACAACGCTGTCCAAGTCTCAGAGGAAACAAGGATAACCAGAAACCTACCTTCAATTGGCACTTGAATTTTCTGCATCAGCCACAGTCTGATTTCTGATTGATTGTCTAACTGTGTTTCTTGACAGGTCTTGTCTACAGCTGGTACTAATGAAGAGTCCACAGACTCTTTCAGATCCTTTTCCTCTGCTGCTGCTGAGCTGATTTCTAATGAAGGTGCTTTCCTTTCAACACAGCAGGAATCAAGCTCCATACTTTTAACTGTATGGACTTCATTAGCTTGGGACTTTGAACAGCTAAGTGTAAGGTCTATGCCAATTGCTTTATTGTTTTCACCTTTCTGGATTTCAGCCTTGTGTAAATCTTCAGATGACTGAGACCCATTTCCATCTTTATTGAGGTAAAACTCAATAAGTTTATCTTTCTCTAGCTCTTTCTTAGTGTCCAATTCAGTCTCCACCTTACCTGTCGGAGTACTGACACATTTGTTTACTTCTGGAATAACATCTTGCTTTTCACACAGCTCTAAGTCTAAGTCAGCTTTAGGTTCAACACTGTCCTTTTTTTCCAAGGAATCAACTGTCAAGTGCTCCTGGACTTCTGTAGTAGGTTTGGTTACCTGCTGCTTAGTTCTCCCCAAGTCCCTGGGGTCAGCCAGCAAGCCTTCCATTACTGAGATTTTCCTGTCCAACCCTCTATCCATATGAGATGATGTCTTTTCCAGCTCAGTGAAGTCATCCTCGCCTTCTCCTGGAAAGGATTTTTCTTTGGTTTTGGTATCTGAAGAATTTTTTTTCCTCGAAGGGTCCTTGGTACATGCATCTGCATCAAACTTTTCCAAATGTTCAGTGGCAGTGATGTTGTTGGGAAACTCCAGAGACTTTGATTTGATTGAGCTTATACTCTCTGATGACTGAAGAACTTCAAAATCATCAGACTTTTCCTTATCTGAAGGCTTTATCTGTTTGGCACCCAGAGCAACAGATGCATCCCCATTCTGCTGCCTCTTTTCCTTGCTAAGGGATTTGAATTTGCTGAAAGGATTGATATCTTTCTCAGAGGACAGGTCTTCCCATTCTCCTGGCCTGTACAGAGGACAAAGATCCTTTGGTATGTCACTGTCAGGGGAAATGATGGATGTACATACGATGTTAAAAGCAAAATGGAAATGGAAAAAAAATGAAAATAAAAACTAAACATCAACTTAACATAAACCATGAAACTCATAAAAAATAATTTTCTCCAAAATAAACATATAGTACTGGCAACAAGTGACTTTGAAGACAATGGAGAAAAATGCTGAAAGTATAACATCAAAATAAAATGAGTAAACCACTTGGCAGAATATGCCACGTGGGCGAAGAAATGTAACACGTAGTAAGAATGTGCAAGTCATCAGAAGTTCCATAACAAAAACACACAGGACATATATTTAGCTGCTGGAATTTAATTCAAATCATATTAATATTGTAATTTCCCACATCTGACAATGAGTCAACATCTACAACCATCCATGCTTCCCTAGTCAGTACAAACGTATTTTTGAGAAAAAAAAATAAGAGAGAAGCTGTATCCTGTTTGAACACGTTTACTGCAGAACAGTAACAGACAACACAGTTAGTAGCTTTCTTCTTCTATTTGTCTCCATTATTCAAACATACTGCTTGAATGCAGGCTTCCTCAAATATTTCTTTTTAAAGCAGAACAATCATAAAACATTTCAAAATGAAAAATTCGGAATAAACATATCAGCATAAAACTTGAGCTCTTTGTTACTGCTAAAGCTCTGATGAGAATTAGAAAATAAGATCCTCATCACTTAAAAATTAATAAGAAGTTATTAAACACTCCAGAAATGAGTGTATCAAGTATCTAGAGTTTTTCTTGAAATGAGAAATTCAATGAATTTCACTGTTCAAACAGGTATTGCCTGTAAGAACAAAATCCTGCTTAGAACAAATAGATAAGCAGTGCCTGATCTGTGCATAAATGAAAGCAGCCCAACCCAGAAAGTCTATAATATAACTATCAATGCATTTCTGGTTCTGAGATAGAAGTATTCCACAGTCTGGTGTTTCTGTAAGTCCTGAAGATGGCAGCTATGGTGGTGTTACCTTCAAAAGTTCCAAATACTTTTCTGAGAACAGTCCTGGTAACACAATAATGGTCAAAATCTAAACCTCCTCACATTCACTCAAAGAGCCCTACCACGGCATATTACAAACACTTTTATTAATTACTGGTTTCTACTCTTGTAGAAACCTGTGTTCCCACATTTGTGACCCATTTGCGTTTAATGCCACTTCAGTGTTCTAAAGAGAAAGTTGTTGTTCTGAAGAACAACACAAGTAAATCATTCCTTTGCTGGCACTTTACTCTGTTGCACTAAAACTCTTCCCCTCCATTCCCCCATTCCCCACCCCTTTTCCATGACCCTTACTGAAAATCTGCAAACATAAGTTCAGGGAAGAACACTCCTTACGATGGCAATGCATCTTTAATCTTCATGTGAGAGATGTCATTGTAGAGAGCTATAGAGACAACCTCCTCCATGGGGCAGATGAGCCCATATTCTTCACATCCATTCTCAATTACCAGAGGATCAGATTTATGTGGGTCAAACATGATATTGTTTGGAGTTACAATCATGACTCCTCCAACAACACCCTAAAACAGAAGAAGAAAGAGTCAGCACATCACATGTAACGCAGTTATCATTGGGTGTTGGATTTTAGGCTACTATCCTCAAAAGCAAAACCACTTTCCTGCGTCTTTATACTGTGTCATGCAGTGTTTGCTAGCAAAATACTTTGCTTTCCAATTGCATCAAGTCAGACATTATAAAGAGAGAAAAAAAATTCTTAGTAGCATCCAAGTTCCTGGCTGATAAGGAAGAACATCTGAACTATTCAATTTTCAGTGCTGACTGCTACAAGCTAAAAATGTGATTGTTACTCTCAGACAAAACAGATTAGTGGATTTATTTTTTTAAAAAACTACATAGCATTTTATTATTGATGCAGCTACTTTCATTTGATCCATGAATTTACAAGCAATCAACACACCTGCATGCAGTTTTATTCATGGTAACATCCAGGTTACTATGCCAAGCTAACATCAGAGGTCCCTTGATCTACTTTCCCAGAGGTACATGCAAAAAGCTTCTCCATACAGGGATCTGATATGAGACAGCTTCTTCCCAACTCAGAAACAGCTCCTATGATTGGTCCAAGCATATTCTATACAGCTGCATAATTTAATTCTTCAAAATGTGCTCTAGCAATGGATTTGATAAAAGGCTGCTGTATCAGCCATTATTCAGCATCAATCCATGGCAACTGACCATTTTCCAAGGTTTAAAAAGAATATTTTCACTGTCTCGCCTCTGCACCTTCTCCTCCAGATGAACTACAAAATTCACCAGACTAACTCAGAATCTGTATGTAAATCATGACATCTGACAAATGAGAGACAGAGAACAACTGGAAAGGCCTACGCTGCAGGTACTATTAATTATGCGAGGTCATCTACAATACAAGCCAAGGAAGGCTCATAATTACACAGGTAAAAGACCATAAGCTTGGTCTATGAGGCTTTTTTTAAAAGCAGTTAAGCTATCAAGATGATTGGCTTGGCACTGGCAAATGAGCACAGGAATGCCTGCTCCTTTATATGGCAAAGTCTCTTTGTATTTCCCATTTGCTTCTCCTGTATGACTCGGTCCTCAAGCTTGGTTTGTGTTTGGGTGACAGAATGAAAACAAGTGCAGAGGTTTCTCCCAGAAGGCAGAATACATCAGTAGGATGTACTTCCCACCCAGCCACTGCAGGAAGCCAGGCAACAATGGATTTCAGCTACACTGGCAAAGAAGCCATTTCATTTTTGATTGCTCTGACTGAAAATTACTTTTTTCATCCTGCAGCCATAAAATTGGCAATCTGTATCTTCTACACCTAAGAAGCATCACATAGCAAGTGACAATACTGTCCTAATTTACATCAAGTGGTCCTCTATTACGTTCTACAAAATGCAGACTTTAAAACTGCAGAGTTGTTAAATACAGTCTACATCCACTCAATGCAAAAAGAAGCCAGAAACTGTAAGTGTAAACACATCCATCTTACAAAAGTCAGGACTAAGGGAAAAAAAATGTTGCAACTACAATGATTAGCATCTCTAGTGTTATAAATTCCAGAGAACTTGAAAACCCGAACATGCAGACAGCTTGCTGAAGCCAGAGTCAACAAGGACAAATATGTCAAAGAAGGCAGTTCAAGAAGACAGTGTCTTGCAATCTTGAGGAAAGGGCTAAAATACTACCCAAGCTCTGTACTTCTAAACACTTGCTGTAATTTAGGATTGCAGTCCTGGCCTATGTTACAAGAAACAGAAAGAAAAGATTGTATAATACAATATTTATCCTTTTATTAGGCTTGCACAACATTCATTAGCAAGTGCAGAGGCAACAAACATATTTGGAAACACTGCTCTGGAAACAGTTAAAATTTATCTTCACATCATAGATGAAACACATTGGAATGTACTCATTTTATAAAGCTGTTGCTCAATTTGATGGAACTGGACAACTAATCCTGACATGTCATAACTCGGAAGCACAGTTCTCTCTGTATATCTAGCAACACACAGGCAAAAGAACAAATTATACAGCATATTATCACAGTACCAACAAACACAACAGTAATAGATAAAGCCAACATAACTTTTACATTCTTTAAAAATACAAAGCATGTTTGACTCCCCCAGTATTCATCTCTCACTTATCAAAAGAGAATTTCAAACAATGCCCAAAAATCAGATTCCACCTACCTTACCATCTGTGAAGTAACGACAATTCATTTTTAAAAATTTGACAACCACAGGCTCATCCTCTTCTGAAGTAGAGGACAAGACTCTCTCCACTGGTTTGAAAGCCTTTCTTGCCAAATCAGCATCCTTAGAAAATAAAAAGGTCAGTGCAGAGGAACAGGACCAGAATCATATACTTCCAGATTTTTGAAAACTAAAAGGCCAGCTTCAAACAATTATTTTCCATTTGCATAAGGAAGAAAAGCAATGGTCATGTATGTAGGTATATATTTACACTTCCTACAGTATCCTCTATTGAAAAGAAAAAAAAAAAAAAACCATCCTTGTAACTTTACAAGAAACTCCATGCAAATAACAGGCAAGAAATTAAAAAACACCAAGGCAGGTCAACTCACCGAAAATCAATTAAACACTCTCATTAGGGAGAGGGCCTGCCCTGACACATCATCTCCACTGAAGAGCACTGGTGTGACTCCCCATGCAGATGACATAGGCGTAAAGTTAAACAATTATTCACTCCAAGCTCCTCTCCACTTTTGATTAGTGATGTATCTGAAATGACTAATTATTTTAATCTCAGCAGATGTTAAAGGCAGCTAAACTGCCTAAAGGTGCTATCTAAAAATCATCATGGCCAGTCACCCTTCTAAAGAAAATGAAAGATCAGCTATGCCAAGGCCTTTCACAAAGATTAAATCCAGCAGTCTTGACTTAAGACAAGTCTGCATAAGGGTACCACCACAAGTTAACTAGAAAGAACTGACTGCTCAGACTAAACTAACAGCCTCCCTGTTCAAGGATGCCAGTGCAGCATGAAGGCTCTGGACTACAGAGCAGCACAAAAATCTCCAGTAGGAAACACTAGATTTTTCATATTTAGCTTTCTATTCTTTAAAGATTATGCACTACATTATTTTTAGTAGTTTTGATGGACTTAGGGCCCAACTGAACTTGTAATGGGTTTCCACACTCAGAATTCCTTTAATTTGGAATAATTTTAAGACAATGGTCAATTTTGTAGTACAGCAAGCTAATTTAACACATGACACTACACACAAGGCCTGTAAAACTAAAAAAACACCTATTTATACAGCCTTGATTCTCAGCTTCAAAATCAGAAAATATTTTGAGAGTTTAAGACCGGTGAACCATGTTTGACTTACAGGGAGTTTATCATATTCAGCATCTGATGATGAAGGAGAAACAGGAGCACCAGGACTAGAAGACAGCCTTCCAGTACTTGTATCTGGCACAAAGAGAATCTAAATACAAACAGGTATTTCAAAACATTGAGGCAAGAGCTTTAAAAGGTTCTAATACAGCTATATTGTATTAGAAAGACAACACAATACTGACCACTCATAGCTGCAACGTACACCTTAAAAACATTGAGAAAAATGAAACTAATTTCCTTATTCCAGCTTTTGTTTGCTGGGTATTCTTAGGCAAGTCACACCATCTCTCTGTGCCTCAGTTTCCCTATCTGCAAATCAAGACACTTCGACCTCCTCATGGCCATAAAGCAGAAGTACAGATCTGCTCTTTATGAACTAAGTGTTAATCTCCACACTTGCATTTCCAGTCTTGGAAATTTTAGGATTTAGGACTCTCCTAAAAAGTCTCTCTCCATTTATTTCTCATCTTACAGGAGACTGACTCATACCCAACATAATGGCACAAAGGCATTTCAAATTTCTGCCTCTCTCTAATTTTTTAATGCATTACATATTGCATTTATCCAGACTTCCCAATAATCCAACTCCCTTGGAACACCTGTATTATCTTCTTGAGCTTCAGAGTCATCTTTAAGCTTTAGTGCCAGTACATGAATTACAAGTCAGATATGGCAATTAGAAAGCTTTCCCATAACACCAATTCCAAGTAATAATCTACTGAGTTTCACTTTGAGGGAGGGCTTTAAATTACTGTCCATTATCCTTGTATCCAAGTACCTAAAAGATACATGTAATTAGTAAAAAAACTTCTAAATACATAGCAAATAATTATGTTTCAGGTATTAAAAAAAAAAAAAAACCCAGATAAATAAAAGATTTACCTGGCCTGGCACAATTGTCTGTGTGAAAAGCTTATTGAGCTCCACAAGCTTGTTTGGGGTGACGTTGAACTTTAATGCTATGCTGTTTATGGTGTCCTGATTTCCAGCCTGAAGAAAGAGTTGATGACTAAGATACCATACTGAACACAGCACCACACATGAACTAAACCCATTTAACAGACTGTTTGCAGGGACAGACTTGATAGACATCTATTTAATAGCTTAGGTGATAAGCCAGTATCAAAAAAAAGCACAGAAATATTCTTTCACAATATACAGTCAAAAAAATGTAGAGGTGTTACAGATGTCCCTCTCCTTTTCTCTTAAAACTTTAAAGCAGCACATCTGTATTTACAACTGGACTGGCAAGGGGGGGAAGGTGATACACTGCAAAGATCACTACACCTCCAGCAGTCACAGCATGTCAGGCATTTGTGCAGTTCCCAGCTGGGACACCACCTTCCACAGAAACTCTGTATGGTCACATGGACAGAGCAGAGCTAGCACATTGCTGCTCTGCTCCAGCTTAAAGAAACAGATCTCCTCAAGCACAGATCAAACTTATTGTGCTTGATGACTTAAGCAACACTGCAGAATATGAATATTTTTTAGAATAACAAAACTACTGCTTGATTAGAGAGCCATAACGCAGAAGTAAAAATGGAAATGGCAGCTGCAGGAGGCAGAAATCCTGTGTTGAACAGAGATTCAGGATGTGACCCTAGCTCCCCCCATACAGTAGTATTAGAATGGTATCAATGGGGGCAATCCCTATGAATTAAATGCAAACTGAGAAAGAATTAGTGCTTACAGTTTTGTGCCGCTGCCCCCCTCTCATCCCTCAACAACTCCACCTTCAAAAGGCAAGCATGAACACACCACACACCAGCACTTACTGTGTATTCTATGGTACCATGAGGCTTCTGAGAAACCATCTTCTTCTCTTTCTTTTCATTGCTTTTGTTTTGATTGTCATCTAAAGAGAAAAAAAAATTCAAGTAATTTGAATGTGCAAATTACTACAGCATGTGCAAATTGCAGCTGTGAAGAACAAGAGGACACATTAAAATGCCTATTAGGCCTTAAGATTGAATTGTAAGGGAAGAAAACTTCATCAAGTACAGCAGGTTTAGTAATTGTTCAAGAAGTCTGCAGGAGTAATGTATATATGATACCATAGCAATACACAACTGCTCCCGTGGTTTCTTCCGTGATTCCTACACAGCTCAGCTGCTGGATACAAGTACTTTGGACTGTCAGGTGAATATACCTATATCTACTGCCTTGGTACAACCACAACAAACACTGGTTAGTCACCACTTCACAAGTACCTTATATTTAAACACTACTTTAATCTCTGAAGGTAAAAGTGTGCCAAGGGTCCTGCAAAGCATGCATGTGTAGTTGGGCAGAGAAAGGAGAAAGTTTGTGCAGAAGACTTTTTCTATCAGCTACAATACACAGAACTCACTGCAGCTGCAGAAACCTGGCAGGACCCAAAAGGTACTTGTGACCTGTCAGCACCAGAGCTCTCTACCAGAGCAGGGTAGAAAATTCCAATTCTTATGACAGCCGTGGGTGAGCACAGCCAAAGCCCAGGAAGGATGGAGCTGCCCAGCCAGCCCCAGCCCCACCGGGCTCCCCTCCAAACCCAGAGCCCAGACCCACATACCTGGTGGGGGTGAGGGCAGCATGCAGCCCCAGCTCCAGGAGTGGGGATGGGGTGCCAGGAGGCAATTCATGGCTCTCCCCACCTGACTGCCTCCAAGCCCTTAGAAAGGTCCCACTGCTTCCAGCAGGATGCTGCAGCCTGGATGAAGTGGGGAGAGGCAAGAAGACAAGGCAAGGCTGAGCCCAGCAAAACCAGCTGCCAGGAGCAGGAACACACTGTCCAGGGAGGACTCGCCTGGTCCAAGCCAGCAGCTCTGGAAGATCAGGGAGGAAAGGACTAGAAATGGCAGCACAGGGCTTCTGACTTGCATTCAGGCTTTGCTGCAACCTTTGCTATTTCCAGAGAGCAAGAGGCACATAGCAAAAGGAAGGGCGAGGACTCGCCTGCCACACTGTAATGTACACAAGAAACAAGGAGGGGCCAGCCCAGTGTGCTGGACCTGAGCCTTCTGATGGCTCATGTCCACAGCAAAATGAGTCTTGTGGGGCTGCCTCAGTATGCTGCTCCCTCAGTCAGAAGAGACTCACAAGAGCCCTGGATATGCATCCAGATGTTACTGCTGGCAAAGCACACCCCCACCTGCCAGGGATGCAGTCATGAGAAGTGCATTGGCTAGGGACACCACAGATAGGGCAACAGAGGCAGAAAGCCTGTAGAAACCAGTTTAAGTACATGCACATAATGTACATGGTATGAAGGACAGCGGGAGGAAAGGGAAGGTCAGGATGATGCTGGCTTTTCCCTGACAACATTTTGAAACACAGCGTCACTCAGTGATCTCAGACACTTCATCTCTAAGACTGGACTACCACATTGAAACATTTTTAATTAGCTTCCTACTGTGTTTTTCCGTCCATTTGTATATTCACCATTGTCACGCCACCTTCTGCTGATCAAAGTGAAAGCAGTGTGTAGAGAAACAGGTAATGGCAGCATCAGCAGGGCACAGTATCAAAACATCAGAAACACAATGGCAACATGACAAAAAATCTGACAAATACTGGATGTTTTCTTTATCCATTACCTAAATAAAACTGCCAACATGGCAGAATCTTGCCTGAAGAAACCCTGCCAGCTACTGAGTTCACACTGTTTTGTGCTACCGGGAGATACCACTTCAACTATAATTACAACTACATATCACACATGTAGGCAAACTACCTGAACTTTTTGTGACCTTTCCCTGGAGAAACACAAGAAAGGTAGACCTTTCAGCTAGACTTGGTCTAGCTGAAAAAAATAGACAAGTTTTCAGATATTTTACCCTTACTTATCTCTGAAACAGTACACAAGGTAGGAAACAGTTAAGAGCAATAATCTCACACTAACTAGACATGCACCAGTAAGACCTTGGAGCGATGGGAATAAAAATAAAGTAGGCCAGAGAGATGTAGAGACAGAAAAAAGATTTTCCTCCTGCAAAATAGGAAAAAGTTTAAGTCTGCATGTAGATGGGAGAAATAATGATATGCAATAAAAGCAGCTTCTCTGAATAGCTTGTAATACTTACTATTAGCTGAACATTTTTTGTTTCAAAGTTTCGTGTTTAAAAGTGAAGAGTTGAACACAGTAGCACCCCTATGCCACTGTGGCACAAAAAGACCACAAAATAGCAAAACAGACAACTTTCTCTCCTGCAGCTTCCTACCTGGCAGAAGGATGCCTTTTCTCCCCCCCCCGCCCCCGTCAAATATCAGTACTTTCCACATCCTCCTAATTGCATTGCCTGCTAAATTTGCAGATAAAGAAATACTATCCAGGAAAATGCTATAACCTGTATAACATTTTCATAACCCATATATACTGTATTCACAGGAGACATACAATATGCTCTAGTTCTTGGTTGACAGAATTGTGAACCTGTTTGTTTAGTAGGGTCCTGAACGCAAGCATGGTACAATAGAGAAGAGTGAACTAAGTATGTACAGATAATTGAAAACCTCTAACTGCAAGACAAGAAAAGGAGAAGTTTGATAGACAAGCTCAGTTTAGATGAAACAAAATACCACGGGTTTTTTGTCAATAAATGTTAATAAATACTAAATAAGTTGAACAATTAGACAATTTTCTTTCACACCCATGTGCAAGAATATGTGTTGTCTAAGTCTGTTTAGCTGCAAGATAAAAGAAGCAGAATTTGTCTCCTAAAACCAAAATCTGACATTTTGTGTTTGGATACTTTTTTCTTCTACTTCCTATGCCCCCATTTTTTTTTTTTTTCTATCCCAGCAACAAAGGGTTGAGAACACTGTCCATACATTATGCCTAACTGCTAGACAGGTTTGGGCAATTCAAAACAACATACTAATTATTTGAATAATGTGAATTCTTAACTAGTCTATGCTTTTAATTGTGCATTAAAAATTTAAAATCATGAATTAAAATCAGGGCTTCAGAAGAAAAAATTACCATGAACCCATTAAACCTGACAGGAACTGCTAAGCCCACATACCGCTCATGTGGCGAGGCCGAGGTCACAAACTGTGCTCTACATGAACGGTTTACAGCAGAGTGACTGGCAAGCCTGGCAAAGTAACACACCACAATGTACTGTCTCTCCAGTTCCCCTTATCTCCCATTTCTCCTCCAGGATGCCAAACGTTTTCTGACATGATCTGAAGGCAGGAAGCTCTTGTATAGCCACAAAAGCACCCCGAGCACACGCAGGTATGATGGAAGCCTTAGGAACCACGTTTCTTTCAGTCAGAACTAGATGAAGAGCTCCACAGGCTTTAAACAACTGCCTTTGGCTACTTTTTGAACTTGAACATTTGCTTAGTGGTGAAATGACTCATGGTTCTGCCTCTTAAATTTTCCTGCACTGCATGTACATTGGAGATGGGATTGCACATCCATGAGAAGTGACTAGGTGTTAATGCAAATTTGATCACACCACATTTTTAGGCAAAAGGCAGAGTGGGTGGACTGAACTTCTCTGTGGTTTTGGGAAACTTGTAAATTGGGAATTATGTAAAAATAGTAAAATAATAAGGAGTGAGAAGAAGAATGCTTAGTGAGAACAGGCAAGAAAATACAGGCTTACTGAAAACAGACAGGTCTAGAATGGGAATTTTTCTGCCTGTAATGATCTATTTGTATCTCAGTTTCCTAGCAGGCTCTTGACATTTCATTTAGCAGTGTTACAGGAAACCTTATAAAAAAGAGTTACCTAAGAGTGATTTGGAAACCAACTACTGAAGGAGTATGATAAAGAGGTCAATCAGTTTATCACCCAGAAGACCTTGACACATGATAGAAGAATTACACCTCTGCAACTGTGTAAATAGCTCTGTAAGTGGATAAAGTAGGTCAAGGAGCATCAGGAGTCTCCTGGGCTGCCCACAGGGAGCACAGGACATCACCACTGGAGGATGATGCCATCACCACTGCTGCCCAGCCCAGATGAGCGCGAGATGTGGCAGCGCTGCCAGTGACAGCTGAACCCACCGGGCAGGTCCCGAGCCACCCATCAGCCTCAGGGCTGGCAGTGCTAGCAGGAATGCAGAAGCAAATAAGGGGACAAAGGATTGACTGCTTTCCACACCTGGCAAACAAACTCAGTAGCCTGAGAGGATAGAGGCAATGGCACACCTGGTGCAAAAGTCCATTTTACTCATTAATTTCTGTCTTACCAAAGATTTAGGCCGCATGTCAGTAGGGAAATCTTTCCCATGATAGCCCCAAAACCACAGATTTCCCAGAGTAACACCATTCACTGAACTGTTCTGTTCTTTCAAGAGCTCCACACCACTTCTATGCCAATGAACCCCACGCTAACATGTGCTCATAAAGCAATGCTTCCCTTCTTGTACTTCATACTTCACTGAACATCCTAATTAATGCTATTTTAAGGTTGAACAAATAGTCATTATTCACCTTCTGCATACCATTCATGATGTCACAGATTTCCAGCATCTTTTCTTAGTTACTTCACTTTTTCCAACTGACTAATACTGTGATACTTCTGACTCTCTTATTTATCTGATCACACAGGCTGCCCTTCTTGCTAGCTTTTCTTCTCCTACTACATCCTTTTTGAGTTGGAGGAAGTGAAACCAAACACAGATTTTAAGCTATGAAAAAAACAATAACACTTGCTGGTGACAGAAAAGAGGGTTTCCTTAAACATGTATAATACTAGCCATTTTTCCACATTACATACTAGTCATTTTTCCACACTGCTCAGTATGTCACTGCTTTTCAGGACATTCCAGTCCCACATCTCTATTACAGATTTGTTAGAAGCAATAAAATTATATTACTATAGTCTAGCCAAGCACCAGGACAAAGGAGTGAAAAGCTAC